GTGTAGTTAAAGTTTCGTTGGAACGAAGTTACGGAAAAATCAATTAACAAACGGAGACGTAACAATACTATAAATGAGGGCGTCCTAAACAAACTCGGTCTTCCTCGATAATTCATGATCATTCGAGAAATTCATCACGTGTTATCAGCGTCACGTGACTTTCGCTGTCGTAACAGTAGTGATTTATTTGTTGACTAGAGAGAGCTACGGATTTTTGATAGTATAATGTTACATTAAGTTACTTATTTATAATATCATTATACCTAAAAATATCTAAAACAAGGGTAGATTATTGAAACGATGTTCTATGAAGCGTCAAATGGAATGATTGTACGTTAGTCCTAGTAGTGTTGTTAGAGAAGTATAACGTAATTCGTAAGCTCAAGCAATTCACAACATTTTACGGCAATGTTCAACTTCAACTTTATAGAAATGTTTATCAGAGGAAATAAACTGATATCGCAGACAATTTAAAAGAACTCGCAAGGGAAAATATTAAGCTACAAAATGTACGAAAACAATTTTGATTGTGATATAATAAGTATCTGTACAATACGTTGAGAAAAAATACAGGAATAACAATATATGTAACTGTGTGTGCGCGTGAATGTGTATTATTAAGTACAGTAGTACTTAATGGTAGGGATCAACAAGGATTCCAAATAATTTAGGCGCCGAAAAACCGACCATTCAAAGTATGGATTACGATATATTATGCACATGTATACTAATAATACGCTTAAAACGTCGCTAATATTTCCGGTATAACAATTCCAAAAATTCTAAAACAGCAACTTTTTCGCCTGCTACCTACCTACATGGTCACGTCAGTGGAGCTACCACCTAGATGGCTCAGACTTTCGCTACAAGATTTCCCCAGCTTACTTGACTGGTCTGCGGGTATCCACTTTTGATATTCCGATAAATACAACCCAACAGATAGCGCTACATATCGATGGATAAACAAGCGACAGTTTCTCGAGGTAAGGTATGTACTTTATTCAGGTTTAACATAAAAAGTATATAAAAAAAGAGTATTAAAAATTATGAATTTTAAAATGAAGTAGGGATTCTGCTACAAAAACTAATGAAACAAGAATTAAGACAACAGTCACAAATTTATAACGTTTAATCCTTACTTTGGCTAACAGATAAGCGTATAAAACTACCAAGGTAGCGAGTAAATTTTATAAATTTGTGATTGTGATTCCAATTCTTGTTTCATTACTTTTCGTAGTAGGTCCTTACTTTATTTCAAAATTCATAATTTTTTAATACTTTAATACTCTTTTTTTTTTTTTTATTTAGCTATGACAATAGTAGATGCTGCGGTAGCCTTTAGACGTTTCAACAGTTATGGCAGCCTCCAGTAACTTATTAGTGCAGTATGTAGTAGTACGAGGCGATCTTTTGAAAACTCTTAAGTGGCCTGTTGGTGCGGTAATTGCACAGGCATGTCATGCTACGACAGCTGTTATTCATTCATTCCAAAACGATCCGAACGTTCTGTCGTATACCTCTGATCTGGATAGAATGCATAAAGTGGTACTTGAGGTGTGTTCAGAAACTGTTCAGTGAAGTCACTGGATTGGATATAGTAGATGTACTACTGTGGTTGACATATTATTAAGTTCTTTACTTTTACTCATAAGTTCTTACAGTTACTGCTCTTATTGGCTTAGCTCTACTCGTCGGGCTGAAAACTTATCAGCTCTACTACTAGCACTAGTAGACCTACCTGGTAACCATAACTGTTTAGGTTTTTGTAACAAATTTCAACTCAAGCCCAGAATCTCGTGCATTCATGATTTACATAGATCATTTACCTTGAAGTCAAAAGCATGAAAACCTAGTGATTATAAATGAGTATTTCCACACTTGTGTCCATGTCAAACGTGAGGAAAGAAAATCCATTATTTCACTTTCTTACTGAGGTTACAAAACTTGAAACATTTTAATTGTATGTTTCCAGTTATGAAACCAGTTTATAAATATTGTTATTAAGATTTTTTTTCAAAATTGTAACTTAAAATGAGTTCAGATGATAGTTTTTTCCATTTAAATAATCCGTCATTAGGATATTTGATTTGTAGCAAGGAAAGAGAGCAATACTTAGTATTTTAAATTTAATTTTTTGTATAAATCTTTATAAAAATGGTTTCAAGTACTAAAGTATTCAATTAAAAAAGTTTACAAATCAGTTTATGTATTGTTACATTGGGAAGGAAAATAACTGATAATAATGGATTTATCTTTTCTCACACAAATATAGGTTTAGAAAGCACATTTCTAATCTCAGTATAAATAAAAGAGGTAATCACCTTGATTTTCATACCAAAGACAGTATAATGTAGGCATTTTAGCAATTCTCAGTTTACTCAATTATCTGAACACAAAGTATGTTTGTTTGTTTTTTCTTCCATATCAATCATTTCTGTGTAGGCTTGATTCCCTCTCACAATACATTGTTAATGTTATACCAGTTATGTATTGTTTAAGTATGGGAAAGGGATAAAATATGATAGAAAAATGTTAAGGAATAGTGAATTACAACTTAAATCTCTTAAGTCTGATGGCATAAAAAAAGATTAAAGTTTCCCTTACTAATTTGTTAACTTTATTTTAGGATGATATATATGTTAAGATTATTGTAACAGTGAGTACTTGGAGTACTTAGATTTTCTAGAAGCTTTTAATAAGGTGACATGTAAAAGATTATCAAAGAAAAATTACAATGGTAGGAGTTGTGGAAAGACTAGAAAATTGGATTGTAGTATTGTTGGATGGGAGAAAGCAAAAGGTTGTTATTAATGGAGACCAGTTACTAGAGAATACATAAAGGATCACTGCTTAGACCTCTACTTTTTCTTATTTACATTAATGATATTAATAGGCCGTAAGTAGTATAGTTTACTAATGACATTAAAATCTTGGGTGTTTCTTGCTGTAACCAAGGGTATTGAGATGTTATAGAATGACTTCGATCTATTGATAACTTGGACAGATATTTGGCAAATGACCTTTAGTTAGAGTTAGAAGCTTGGCTGAAGAAAGGGTTTTTTGGCATATCAATAGATAAGTCATTCAAGTCATCAAAGCAGTGGTCTGTTGCTTCTATTTCTAGTAAAGCTAATATAATTTTAGGATGTATTTGTAGACATGTTGAGTACAAGTGTAGAGATATAATTATCTCTCTATACAAATAAATAGTTGAACCTCACTTGTCCTACAGTGTACTTATCTAAGGAAGGATATCTACTAATTGGAAAGAGTTCAAAGATGGGCTACTAGAATTATCCAGGGATGGAAGGGTTATCTTATAGGAATAGGTTAGGATCTCTTATTTTCTTTTAAGATAAGGATAAAAGCTGAATTTAGTTTATATTAAGTGTAATATAATGCATTTGAGAAAAGAAAGGTATTGTAGAGGTGATATTTTCGAAGTTTACAAAAGTACCTAAGAGATCAATAGGATCAAGCCCTCTGATTTCCTTGTGCCATATTTTGAAGATATAAGAATGAAAAGACATAAACTTAAGATTTGGAAAACACAGTTTAGGTTCCAGTTTAGACAGTTTTATTTTTCTAACAGGGTGACTAGTTTATAGAATAAATGACCATCTGTAACAGTAGTGGAGTCTAGCACCTTTTAAGAGTTTAAGAGGTGAAAATAATTTTCCTTATGATTAAAGGTTTAATTTTTACTTTGTGTGTGTGTGAGTGTGAAAGATCAGTCTTGAAAGACAAATGGCCCTTTGTTGTCTGTTGGTTATGTTGAGTCCAAGATATTAGAATCCAGTTTTTCAAAATGGTTGCAATAAAACATCAAACAACTTGTTTTGATTAAAATTTCCTATTTATTCATACTCATTATTATATTAGGCTTATTTAGTTAATTGTTCAACAGAAGTTGAATAAACATTGATCTAGTTTGTATGCTACCAATTTTTTTAACTTGTGAACTAGTATTTCCTTCCATTTTTGTTGTACTGTTTCCCAGAGTTGATGTAGAATAATTGGCTTGTGTTTTGCAGCATTTCCTTATCTTCAACTAGTGCCACAGAGTTATAACTGAATTAGTATCAATTGTGATTCTGGAATAACAGTTTCATAACTTTTATGTCACTATCTCTTTCCTTGTCTTCCAAGTACTTGTGTTCAGTTGGGCAGTATGTTTTGGATCATTATCTCACTGAAATTCAAAACAAGAGCCAATTAAGTATCATCAACTGGATATTGCATGATGAACTAGGCTGTTGTGATGCTACTCCTCTTTTATAATGTCATCAGTTTTTACAATATCATCCACTCCTTCATGAGAAAAAAATTACAGACTCAGCATCACATTTCTGTTTTGCTTGCACTTCTCATGACCAGTAGTTGGTGTGTGTGTGTGTGTGTGTGTGTAATTATAATGTAGTGAATAATTGTTTTTGTTGTAATTATAAAACAATATTTGGGTATTACACACACTTACACTATTAATGTTTTGCCAGCAGTGGCTGTCAATTTTTTAGTTTTTTGAAAAAGCAAATTAACCTTTTTGTCTTGTGTTATTGTAGTTTTATACATTGTGATTTAATAAAATAGAAGCTATATGGAGTTCGAGATTGTTTTTAATAAGAATTAATGATAAATTTATCATTTAGTTATTGGATTTCTGAAAATTAAAACAATGAAATTTGGATATTAAAAGCCCATGAGGGGTGCTGGTTAGGTTGAACTCTTAGTCATCTATATTTTCATCAGTTATTTTTTTTCCTTTGAAAACTTAAAAACAGTTATTTGATCATGAAACTGATAATCATATTAACTTTTTATAAATTATGTCAGTTATACTTGTACAGTTTGAAAAGACTTACTCTCAGCTGGAGGAACCTTTTTTTTCAACTTTCTTCACCTTATCTTTAAAAGAAAACATCTCATGTAACCTAAATTTTAATCATACTATTTAAAGCTGTCTTTAATATTTTTGGTCAGTCTTCTTTCTTTTTTGATCACACAGAGTACAGATATATTTAAACATACACCAAAAACAATTTGTAATAATCTGTGTGCATATCTTTATAGGAAAAAGAATACTTGAACATCTATGTGTATGATAAATTTCCTGAAATCATTAAAGAACTGTTAATGTAGGTCTGTCATTTCACACATTCAAGTTCATTATCAACAACAAGTTAATAGTGGTTTAACAATTCACTGATTAGAGTTAAATGGAAGTTCTACAAATGAATAGGACTAATATTCCACTTAATTCTAAGTAATTAGTACCAACTACAGTTGCTTTGATTTAAAGCTTAGTTATACTTCACTGAAGGCTGTCAGTTACAGTTACTCTACTTCAAAGACTATTAGTTGTTTGTATATAGGACATTTGTTTTTTGAAGACCATCTCTTTTATTATGGTTTCACTCTTCTGATAATATTCTACTTAAATCCTCTTCTTTACCCTAGTTATACCAAACTATTTGTTTAAAAATGACTCTTGAGTTAGGTGGTACTAAATTCTGTGTGTTTTAAGTAACATACACATTGCTTATCAAAGAAAGTTATATAGATATATCAAATTCCTCTCTTCATCTCTGTGTAAAGGAAGAAGTGCTTTTAGAATTAAACTAAATTTTTTTTGTGGAATTTTAATGACATTGTGTTTAACAGTATTTGTTACCCTATTCAGTTGTTTTCAGTTGCATGTTGTAGTGATTTGCTTTTGCATTACTCTCTATCACTTCTGCCTTTCTTACGATATTCCTCATAAATATCATTAAAATGTTTTTTATGACCATAGCCAGTTTTTTCATAAGTACATTTATTGGGTGCTCAAGATTTATATACTGCATCTACAGAATTTTACAATCCTTTGTTAGTAAGTGAAAAGTAAGTCTCATATCTTGTGACCTGTTTTCCTGGTTGTTTCATGTATAGAAATTATGCTTATCTACTCAGTTATTACAGTACATAAAGCATGGTTTACAGAATAATTAGTTTGCATGTTTTTCTTTACTGTACACATATCATGGTAAACACATGCAATGTGATTTATTTGCCAAGTTGTGTCTTTCATTACTATACTTGATATGTGGTTTACTGTGAGATCTGCCTGCATATGTCATGGTTTATAGTGAGATTTGTCTGCCTTTTTATTTCTCCCACTAATTTTATATAAATCATGGTTTACAGAGCAATATCTGCATATTGAATTGAGTAGTGCATTTACTTCTCTTCTAACGCACTTGAATTATGATTTATATGCTTGCTGATTTAGTTATACTTGTATTCTTTAGTCCATGTTGTTAAATGCATCATGGTTTAATGTGTTATTTGACATCCTGGTATACTATTATTGCTACACTCATTATGATTTAGTGTGAGATGTATCTCCCCCAAGTCTTTTTTTTTTGTTACAGCATTGGACTTGCAATCTGCAGGCCACAGGTTTGCCCATTCAGCCATGGATTGTTATAATGTGACAGTCAATTTCACATTTCATTGCTAAAGAGTAGCCCAAGAATTGGTGGTGGGTGGTGTTGACTAGCTGCCTTCCCTCTAGTCTGTCACTTCTAAATTAGGGATGGATAATACAGATAGCCCTTGAATAGCTTTGTGCAAAGTTCAAGAAATAAACAATGTCTTTTGTCTAGTATAGCAAGGAGTATCCTGTGACTTGTGTGATTTAAATTTGCATTACACTGCTTAATTGTACTTACATATATATATCTGATAATGATGTGATCCATTTACACAGGTGTACTTTATATAATGTAATTTACTCGATTTATTCATTTCAGATTAAGTATGAACTGAGACCAAGTCATGAGTTTAATCTATTTTCTGTAGGCTCCAGATGAGACAAGCTTGTGGACCTTATCAGAAGCCTTGACTGCTGCTTCAATAGATTATAAATTATGGGTTGAACAACCAGAAAATTTTCCTACTTGCCTAGCTACCAAGCCTTATAAAAAGGAGGACATTCAGACTTACTTCAAAAGGTTTAAATTATTTAAATAAAGGTTGTCATTCACCATAACTACATTCTTTTGTGTGGTTGGCTTACTGTGTTTTACTTAAGATTTGTCTTCTGAATCTGTTATATACATGGGGAGACCAGTTTACCGATGAGTACGATGAAACCAACATCTGCATTTCAAACTAGTAGACATTGGTTTCATTAATGCTGATTAATAGGCATGACTGATTACCTATGATTAATATCATGTAAAACAATCAACTGATATGAAGTTATGATTTTCAATTAATCCAACTATCTATATAATTGAAATATTGTCATTATGATTTCTCATTATTACTGTTGATTAATTCAAGGTTGTTAAGCTTAATCAGTTAGTGTTTCAATTCATGAAAATAATCAACCAATCAAAATTAGTGATTCTTATTACAATGATTAATCATTGAGCAAATTCCACTAATTGTTCAGCTCTAATCTTGACAGTTTGCCCAAAATTCAAACACTTAGAATATTTATTAAATTCAGTGGAATTTCACATTACTTATGAAAGGTTATTTCTAAGTTAATATTTGTTATTCAAGTATGTTGCAAAGTTTATTAAAGTTCCCGTATTCTGCCTGATAATGCATATTTTGTGAGCACTCTTTTGTACTTGGTTTTAAAGATACTTATGGTTCTCCTGTGACGAGATTTTTCACCTTGTGGTAGGATCGGTGAGTAGTTATAAAATTTGTTATCCTGAATAAGGCTTAAGCTAAAATATAAATAATTCTTTTGGCTTTCACAGTACTCATTCAGCCTTGGGGAGTAGTATATATATATTTTTTTTTTATTATGTTACATTTAAAAAATAATGCTATGATGAGATCTTATTTCCTTGTTTTACTACAGGATCTGGGTATACAATAGTTTGGCAATCAAGCAATACTGAATGGCTACACCATTAATAATTTTCTTGCATATTCATAGTACAAAAATTACAAGGAAGCCTTTACAAGTAATTGTGCTAGCACTAGTAATTTGTATAAATAAGAACACTTGACTATATAATGTAAAAGATTTATAACATTATGCATTTTCATTGGAGAAGTTGAATGGAGTTCATCACTGCAAATGGAATTAGAGCCTTAAATCATAACTGAAAATATAAGCATGATAACAAAACTAAAACTACATAAATATCTTTTTGTGTAGGTATGATAACCTCATGGAAATCATATAAATCTACCATCTTAAAGATGTATACAATTACAGAGTGGATATCGTTGGATATCTGTAGCTAAAGTACCCATGTACACTGAGGGATGCCCATACACATAATGTTGAGAAAGCTTTTCAGATTCAGGAGTGAGATACTGTTTGAAGCTATACTGAATTGTTTTTGTAGTTAAAACTTAAAGTAAAAATACTGTCTATAGCTACAGTTGCTAAATGTGTATTTTTCTTTGTATATATAACCTATAATAATAATAGCTACTTATTTTAACAAGATATGGATAATTTATAGCTACAGTAACCAGATTTCGAGAGATGTAGATATATACTAATTCTAAATTCTGATCAGAGCTAGCTAACTACTCTCAGGACAATACTGAAAATCAACCTGGTGATGAGAATAGCTAATTAAAGACAGACAACTACAAAACCCTATAACTCATGCTTTCAAAAGGTGGACCTTTCATTTTAAGGGGAAAATTTGGGAATCAGTTTGCCCCTGATGAACAAAAGCCAACAGGCTATAGGGTTTTGTATTTTTGTCTTTGATTTTTTGAATTTATGTTTGTATGACATCATGAATATTACCAATTAAATATATTTTTGTTCTTACTTATAATGAATTGTTTAATTGGTTGGATATCCTTGTTGTTAACAATATTTTCAGCTGTAAACACAATATTTCATGAGGTTTGGTCAGATAGGAGATTTCAGTTAGTCCTCAGTCCACATTACTACAGTACAATATTACTACAGCTACAATAATAAAAAGTATATAGTTATTGCTCCTATAAGTAAGCTTGAGTATTTGACAAACAAAAATAAAAGTGGTCAAGTGACTTTTCAAGTATGCTGACATTTTATTTCTATGGTCAAGGAAGTAACGGAAAGCATAAAGTATTTTATTAAAGTTTTTGAAGATGTTTTATTACTGTAACTAGGCTATTCTCAAAGCTCAATCTATTATTTAGAAACTGAACATGAGTATTTTTTTTGCTTACATCTACATTGTAACTTCCAGCTCAGCATAAAAACTGTATCTTATTTGTAGATAATCCAACTGTTTATTTTTTTATTAATTTATACCAAAGCTGTAGTACAGTTATTGGCTAATAAGGCTGTTATGAACTGTATGCAGAGTTTTAACATTTTGCTAAGCAGCATCTCAGGCCAGTCAAATAAGCTATTTATGGCATTGGTTCTTCTAAAATTTCATCTTCGATTGTTATTTGTTCATATCTGCAGTCAGTTCTCTCTTTTACAGTGCATTGTTCCTCAAACAGACCAGTTTCATTCAGTACATTCTGTTGCGTAAGTGTTACTGTGTTGAAAGATGTTGGTCACAGTGGCAAAAATAGAGGGAGGGTACAGGCATTTGTATCATGAGAGAGAACCTTAGATTCTAAAGCAGGAATGGCATCTCACTTGGCTTGATTACTAAATAGACCAATTTTGGATTTGAATTAGTAAACATTTTGCTAATCATTGTAATCTTTGAAAATGGTCAAATGCTAAATTAAACTTCTAATTGCTCAGGTAGTGCAGGTTTGTCGTCTGATTAGGTAAATAGCATTGTGGGCTGGGGGTGATAATTCTTTGATACGTCTTTCATCTAATTTTCAGCTTTGGTGAATAGACAGTTTTTTGCTAAATCAAACTTCTCATTGCTCAGATCCTTCCTTTGGTAATGCAGGTTTGTCGTCTGATTAGGTAAGCAACATTGTGGGCTGGGGTGATAATTTACTTAAATGATTCTTTGATATGCCTTTCATCTAATTTTCAGCTTTGGTGAATAGACAGTTTTTACTTTCTCATGCACCTAGGATACATCTTCACTGAATAGAGCAATGGAGTATTTGGCACTTGAAATTTTATTGTGTACTCAGTTCATTACTTATTAATCATATGTGCATGAGTGTGGGGGTTAAAGTGCACATGACACAAACTTTCACAGAGTACCATTCAACCTGGTATTATATATTTGATGTCAGAATTATCAAATGTTCATTTTACCCTACACTGCTGATATGAAGACAGTTCATGGTAGGGGAGAGTAAATACCAGCTACAATATACAAGGATACTGAAAAATGTAGATATGTATTTTGGAGGTCCTAGAGGTTATGCAAATACAATATGCAGACTATACAATGGAAAAAATTATTTTAATTTTTAACATGAACATCTCCTTCCACTTCGACTTGTCCGATTCCAACTGATATCATCAATTCACAAACTATCTTGTGTACAAATACTTTGGAATACATCTGATTTTTTGTGTACAACAGACTTGCATATTTTGCTAAAACATGCTACTTTTGTGTAGATATAGGCAGCAAATTAAGAATTATAGTCAACATTCCTTCTCCAATATGGGATTGGTCCATTGGTTATTGAAATTTATAGAAATATTCGGCTGTTCAAATAATGAGCAGTCGTTTGATTGATTAGAAGACAATTTTACGATATCCGTTGTAGCTATAATAGTCAGATATTAGATATCTTTAGTAACCTGATATTTAGAGATGTCATATATCAAGAATAGTGCACATTGTCAAAGATTACAAATCTGATAACTATACTGCACAAATTAATTAAAGAATAACTAAAACTGTAATATTATAGCTATGACAAACCAAAAATTGTTGTTATATAATATCAATTGCTCCTCAGTTAATTATTATGTAAATTAGACATTTGATTGCCTAACGTAGCTAATTAGATTTTAATTTTGGGTTGACTTTTTCTGTGCCTACTTGTGACTTTGAAGAAACAAAACATTGATGGCATATTTGTATTTTTCAAAGGCCTCGCACTTATATCTACCTCTTCCATAATAATAATTAACTTCTAGTTAATACAATATGAAATTAATTAAAAAATTAATCCAGAAGTTGTAAAGTTTCATCAACTCACTAAAACTTGTAAAAGTAGAAAAAGCTCTATTAAAATTTCACATACTTACAGTATTATAAGAATGAATAAATATTTGGAAATAAATTCATTTTTAAATGTTTATTCATGCTTATAATATCATAGGCATGTGAATTTTTAATATAATTTAGCATGAAATTTTCTTATTTATTTTTAGGAAGTTTTAATTTAATAACATTTGACCATTCACCTAATTACTACTAAAAACAAAAATATTCCATTTCTTTAAAAGTAGAACATATCCTATTTGCAAAGTTAAAAATACACTATCTGTAATCAACATATGGTAAACGGACATATTTATGTTAACACTGTTAGAGCAAACTTTTGAACAGGCTGTGAGCATCATGCACATTAAATTTTTAGTAGCAAGTTGAAGTGTGAAACATTTTTGTAGAATTATCAGCACTTGCTGATATTAGTAAATGCATTTTTTTACTTCAGTAATGCAATGATTATTTAGTATTTGTTGCAAATATCAAATATTTAAAGTATAAATTTGACATGTCATACAATGCTTGTAAGTTATTACTTCACAGTTGTAATTAATTAATTATAATAGTAGTTTCTGTGTGTGCTTCTTCCCTGGATAAACCCAAAAATAATCTGTTTTTTTTTAAATGATTGAAATAAATGTAAAATCAAAAAGGAATCTTCAAATAGCTGTGGCTGTAATTTGATCTCAAATTAGTCAAGAGAAGGAGCTATGAGCTAAAGGTCTGTACCTGAAAAAAAGTTGGAGCCTTTCTATGAACCACTATGATGCAGCTAAAAGATTGGGGGGGGGGGAGAAATTTGTAGATTAATTCAGTGAAAAAGTATTCAGGACTATATTAAAATTATTAGCACAAAGGAGAAACATTTCTAAGTAAAA